CTGCCTTGCCCCCACCCTACCTTACCCTACTCTAACCCATCACTAACCACCATCCTACCACTGTAGTCATCACAACTATCACACTGCCACCTATTGCCCCACTCTGGCTTCAAACCCACTGCCTCACCCCACCCCTGCTTGCCCTCAACAATCCCCACCTATGGAGCAGGGTAGGGCAGAAGTGGTGGGGGAAGGGCGGGTGATAGTTGTGACAACGACATTAGTGACATGGTGACTGGTAGGGTATGTGGCGGGGCGATGGATGGATAGTCTATACAAAGATGATTGTTCCAATTCTATTGAGAGATTTCATTCCAATTCCTACCAACCAAACACATGGTCAAATTCCATCAAATTTCATTCCAATTCCTTCAAAGTCAAATTCCTTTGATGGATTCCAACTCCATCAAATTCCATTCTATGAACCAAACACCCCCTAAGGGTGGTGTCAGATTGTTTTGAGTCTGGTTCCAAAGGTCAAAAGTACCCGGAGGTCTCATGTTCAAATCTAAGGAGAATAAAAATCTCCTTGTGGCCACGGAGATTCAAATGTTGTGACTTTGGGCTATCTGCAAAGCATGTGGTCGTTATGGGATTAGTCGGCTCGCATAGCGGGTTGGATATCTAGGTTAATCAAAGAAAAAAAAAGAATGATGTCTGATTGGTTTAAGCTTGGGCTCCAAATGTCATAAGTGTCATGATGTCCCAAGTTCAAATCTAAGAAGAAATAAATATCATCTTGTGGTCACGGTTCAAATACGTTGACTTCAGGCTACCTGCAACGACTCGTATAACGGGTTGTTATCTAAGGTTAATAAAAAAACATTCTAATTTGATCTTAAATCATATGAATTTATGCAATTTTGCAACACAAAAAATGTTACATTAAAATCTACCATTTTTATTATAAAGACGATAAATAAAAAACTAAAATATGATGTTTAATAGGAACCGAAGAACTAAAAACTAAATTAAATACTTTACTAAAAACACTAAATTTAGTGGTTGGGTTGAAGATGCATTAAGGATATTGCTATATACACACTTATTTATGTTAGAATCACGCCAAATCACATACAAAACTTGAAAAACAAAATTTGATGTTAACATGTGTGCTGAGAAAATTCGTAGGTAAGCATGCATTCAACAATATATAAGAGCAACTCCAACAGCTGGTGTAGTAGATGTTATCACACATACAATCATACTCAATTCAACAGAATTGTTTGATCCCAAAGGGGATCTTCTATAATTTCACAAGTGAAAGACTAATTCTTGGTTTATGCTATAACAGAAAATTTGGAGATTTATAGTGTATTTTAGCTCCAACAGTTAGCACTTACCGGATAAATTGTTGCATACAATATCATTTTTGTTGACTAAAATCTTACCTGATAAATAAGTTTTAGTATTGAATTTTGTCGGTGAACGCTTACCTGTTAAGCTTTTGGTACAAACTTAACTGTTGGAGTTGAATGTAATTTTTTTTAAATTAATTTTTAATATTATATTTTAAAAAAATTATAATATAAGCATGGTTCACATTCAAGAGATTCGTGGAATGGTTGTAGACTACACACAATGATGTAATCCTTATCAACTTTCCATTTGTCCTTTGTGTTAAAGTTTATCTCGTTATCCATCTTCACCCTTTCATATGTTGATGTCTATATTTTATATCATTGGCTAAGAATAATTTTTATTAATATTAATTATTAATTATTAATAAATAAAAAATTATTTATACTATACTAGAAGGGTACTCGTGCAATGTATCGAAACACATCTCATTTTCAATGTTTCATTTTGTTCTTTTTTTATGTCGATATAATATGGATTTATGTGATTTTGAAAACATGATGTTTTTATTTTTAAATAAAATATAAATTTGAAAATATTATAAAATTTTGATAAAAATATATCGATATTAGTATCAAATTAATTATTTGAAATTCCTTATTTTTTTGTTTAATTTTTTAATTCAATTTTTTTATAATTTAATTTATGTACAATAACGAAGTAATTTGTATTTGGTTTAATAATATAATTTTTTATAAAGATAATAATTATTTATTTTGTTGGAACTCGATAATTATTCTAATTATATTTTAGATTTTTTATATTTWAAAATGAGATGTTCATCMTCTATTTGATTAYGTTTATCMGCARTTATTTATACGAATTCAAACATCGAGCTTTAATAAGTTGTACTTATGCATAATTACTTGTAATCTTGAATTTTATACAGTACTTTATGCATAACAAAAATATATCGATATTCGTATCAAATTAACTATTTAAAATTCCTCATTTTTTGTGTAATTTTTTAATTCAAATTTTTTATTATAATTTAATTTAGGTACAATAATAAAGTAATTTGTTTAATAATATAATTTTCTTATAAAGATAATAATTAATTATTTTGTTGGAACTTGATAATTATCCTAATTATATTTTAGATTTTTTATATTTCAAAATAAGATGTTTATTCTCTATTTGATTATGTTTATCCGCAGTTAGTTATACGAATTCAAAAATCGAGCTTTGATAAGTTGTATTTTTGCATAATTTACTTGTAATCTTGAATTTTAAGTAAATATTGGTTTTATTATCTGCAGTTAGTTACACGAATTCAGATATGTGATGAAATCGGATAAGGATGAAATCGGATAGGGATGAAATCGTTTAGGGATGAACGGGTTTAAGAGTTTTAAGAGTTTTGGCCAAATGCTTTATAAGATAGTATAGATTATAAAGCATTTGACAAAAACTCTTAAAAATCATTTTTTATACACAAAGTACTGTTTATTAATGCATATTACTTAAAATTCAAGATTACAAGTAAGTTGTGCGTAAATACAACTTCTTAAAGGTATATCTTTGAATTTATGTAACTAATTGCAGATAAACATAATCAAATACATGATAAACATCTCATTTTAAATATAAAAAACCTTAAATATATAATTAAGATAATCATTGAATTCAAAAACATGTCAAGTTTCATTTGTATCATGTTCTTATTGGATACTAAATAAACATTTTCGAACTGTAAAGTATTAATTGTCGTTCTAAAATAGAATTTTATTAAATAAGAACAGAAGCTAACGTGGTTAGTGACATGAATTTTTTAAATATAAAATTAGTCTTCAACCGGTTACTCAGGTATTTAAATGTTTAAAAATTTACATCCTTGGTACCAAAATGTAAGTTCTGAAAGTACGTTACCTAAAATAAAAATCAAGTTAAAATACATTATTTTTTCATACAATTTACCCTTAAAAAAATTCGAAATGTATAACAAAATAGAAATTACATGTGCTAATTGACTTGTTTTGTTAATTTAAAAACCCTACAGAAAAATACAAAAAATATATCAATATAAATATCAAATTTAAATATTATAAATATCAAATTTAAATATTATAAATATCAAATTTAAATATTAAATAAACGATTAATTAGTTCAAACATTAATATTTAAAAAATTACACATACACAATCATAAATCGTAGACTTAAATGTTAAAACATTATGTTTTAATAAAAGAGTTATTGAATTAAATTACCATTTTTTTTATTCAAATTGGTCTTTTGACTATTTGGTTAAACTACATATTTTATTTTTATTTTGGGTAATATACTTTTAAAACTTTCATTTTGATACATAAAATGTAAAGTTTTAAACATTTAAGTACACGGGTAATCGGTTGAAACATTAACCGGTTGATGTGGCGAGTGATGTGATATCTAACTCAGTATTATTTGTTGACGTGGTTAGTGACGTGGAATTTTTTTAATATAAAATTAATCTTCAACCGGTTACTCGAGTACTTAAAATGTTACCCAAAATAGAAATCAAGTTAAAATACGTTACTTTTTCATGCAATTTGCCCTAACTATTTCTCTCCCGGGTTGACCTGAATATCACCACTTCCGCAATATTTTATCTCGGACCTAGCTAAAAATAAAAAAGTCAACACAAATAGGCAATCACGACGACCAAATATGCAATTGTGACGGCCAGGTCCACAATTGCGACGGTAAATAGATTGAATTTGACATTTTTTTTTGTCTTTTATCCTGGTCCGCAATACTAGGGACCTGAGTATTGCGGATATAATGACATTTGTAGCAATCCGAACGAAAAACAGTTAGGATCTCAATTTAAATAAGGAAAATGGTCATTTAAGCTAATTACTCTTAGGGACTGTTTGACAATTGCTGAATGGTTTGGTGCAGAATAATTAAGTGGTCAGAATGATTAAGAGGCTCTCATGATATAGTGCAAAATGAAATATAATTGTTTGGTAATTGTGTAGAATGAAATTAGGGCTCTTAATGGTTAAGGGAGATCCATGATACAAAATCATTCAGAGAGTTTTAGAACTATTAAGAGGCAATTTTTTTTTGCCAAACAAGATTCACCTCTTAACGACTCAGATGTTGCTTCTTAATGAAACCATTAAGAAGTAAACAAACAACCCATTTAATAACGTTATAGAGTTATTTTCAAAATTTAATTAAAATAAAAAAAATAATATATAACTATTGATGAATAATTATATATTTTTATTTTATAATAATTAATATAAAAATGATTTTGAAATTTCTCCAATTTAATGTTTATATTATATTGTCGTTTTGCAAGTTGTTATTTATTGAAATAATGAATTGAAGCCAACTTTATTTGAATTTTGTTTTGTTGACTATGAAAAGTCAAAAGCATTTTGTCATTGATTGGAATTCCATCCAACACCACCTCCTTTTTTTCGCTTGGTGTTTTCATGCTTATCTAAATTCAACACATGCTTTTTGGTCCAATCATATGTATAAAGTTTGTTTCTAAAGTAAAATAATAATAATATATATAGGGTTGGGTTCATACGAGACCAACATATTTTTATGAGACTCGTGAAATTATTTTTTTACATTTAAAATTTTACAACAAAAATATTGTGAAGGTAAAAAAAGCCGAACTTTCACAATAAGAGCAAAGACAAGGACAAGAGTTTTACCCGGTAAGTGGAGGGGGCAACGACTCTTACCATGGTTAGCGCTTACCGTGTAAAGTGTTGCATATGATAACGTTTTCCTGGTCTTACCCGATAATTAAATGATAGTGTTGAATTTTACTGTTAAGCACTTAAAGGTGTCTGGAGGTTCCAGGTTATAATTCAAGGAGGAATAAAAATTCTCTTGTGATCATGGAGGTTCAAATGCGGTGACTCTCGGTTACTCGCGAAACGGGTGGTCGTCCTAGAATTAATCGGCTCGCATAACAGATTGGATATCCAGGTTAATAAAAAAATCATTATTTCAGATTATGCATATACCCAAAAGTCATTGGAAAAACTTTAGGACCCATTGTTTTAAACGACCTAACTCCATCCAATACATATAAAAGAAAGACGATAAGAATCAGTATTTTAATAATAAAAAAATACATTAAATAAAACCTTATAATTAAAATATTATCAACAACTTTTGTAGTTTGGTAACTCGTTTTTTTGGGTAATCTGGTATGAGAAAAAGCAGAATATCTCGTCCACCTTTTTATAGTCTTGTATTTATCTGATTAGTGTTTGTAATTTTAAAAAAGTTTTACGAAAAGAAGCTGTAAATATTTATTTCAGTGTTTTATTTTCGATCAGGTTTAGGTCAATTCTGTGTTACTTTCCCAATTTATATAATCAGTTAGATATCTCAAAGCGAACACTAAACACGTCATAAACTAAATCAGATGAAACTAAAGGGACCCATTAGATTTAATGTAAAAAACAGTCTCTAAGGCCTTGTTTGTTTTTTGAAAAAAAACTCTTATTAGTCTCTTATGTTTGATTCTTTAAGAGGTAGGGTCATTCAGAGTGTTTAATTTTTCTATTTTTTCAGACGTACTTATATCTTATTGTCATCTTATCTGGTGAGAGGTAAACTAACCTCTTATTGTTCTCGAAACCTTTAGCACCGACGTTTTTCAATCGATTAACTTAGTCAATCATTTCTCTCAATTGATCATTACCAAATCGATCATCACATCTCTTAATTGATGTATTTTAATAGGATTTAAATGTGTTAAATAACATTTAATGCCATGTTTTCGTTTAAATGAATGCTAATTATATAATTAAATACAAATTTCGTAATGATAATGAATAAATATGTGAAATTGTATAAATTTATTTATAAATTCAACATTATAATTTTCTAATTGATAAAATAGACAATTCAAACAAATTCAGACAGTAATCAGTTTACAAAAACAAACAGTCTTATTGATTCAGATTCCAGACTTCAGCACCACCTCTTATTAATCAGAAGTGAAATAAGACTTCAGACTTTAACACATCTTGAACTAAGCCACCTTGATAGACTCAAGACGATACCCTGTTGAATGGGTGATCTGAAATTCTCATCCACGCTCAAGGTCGTCCTTTCATTGAATTGACCGTATGGAAAACTCCCCCAGCCCCTTTCATTGGTGGGCGTAACGGCCTCTATAACGGGCAGTGGGTCAATCGGTTAATCAAAGTGTTAGGTTTACTTTCGAAATTATAGTTTTCGTCCATGGGATTACAATTCACTGATTTTTTTCGTTCAAAAAATCGAGCTGTTTTGCTTCATGCTTAAATTGAAGGGCTTTATGCAAAATTGAACGTTGAAATCCAAATGGTGTAGCTACGAAAGTTATATGGAAAGCGGTTCAATGATCAAAACAACGTTTCCCATGTATTTAGGCGGATTTTCAAGGCTAGATTTCATTTCAGGTAAAGTTTTATGGGTTATTTGAAATAGGTGACGGATTTTGATGTATGAACTGTTTAAGCATGTTTATAAAAATGTAATAAACATGTTTGAAGGCCTTCACTTCAATAATAATCTGTATTTGAGAAAACGAGTATTTGATAGTAAGTTGGTATCACTCGCATACTTAACGCTAAATTACTAAAGGGATCAGTCTCAACACGTAAATAACAATAAATTACAAACCACATAAACAAACACCATAATTTCGAAAACACAAAACCGAAACTTGTAGTTCTAAACCATGTAGAATTAACTCAAATGACAATAAAATGAGGGTTATCAGATGTCACTGGTTCGAGTTCTACAAACCCACTGAGGATTTTCCTGGTTGTTTACCAAGGCCCCCATAATTAGTATGGACGTTCCAATCTTTTTGGAGGCTCTGCTACATCCAAAACTTTTGAGTACGTTGCATAAAATGAAACAACAAAAAATATATTTTAAGAACTAAAATGGGCTAAACATAAAATGATTAACAATCTGAAACTAAACCTAAACTTAAACCATTAATAATTTGAACATAAAACCAAACAATTAACTGTTTGAACATAAATAATTTAGGCTATAGTTTTACACAAGTCGATAAAAAAACCCCTAAACACATGTAAACTTGGGCACCAAGATTTCGGAAGGCCTGTTTAAAATCTCACATTTAATATGTCAAGGGACGGCCATGATAATTAGTCAAGATGCGCATAAGTTGTCCCATACACTAATAGTTAAACAAAATTTAAAAAAAATGTAGTTCACTCTAAGGGGCTGTTTACAAAACACTTATCCAAGTAAGCGCTGACCAAATCACATACCTTACCGGATGAACATGACAAGTACCAAAAATCTTACATGGTAAGAGCGAAAGCAAGGGCCGAAAATCTTATACGATAAAAGAGAACGACGACTCTTACCATAGTTAACACCTACCAGATAAATTATTATGTACAATGTCGTTTTGATGAATTAAAATATTACTCAATAAATAAATAATTTACCGGACAAGTTTTTAGATAAACATCAATACTAAAAAATACAATAAAAACAAACTAGGGAATAGTCAATTACAAGGGTATTTTCGTCAATTACAATGGGTTGATAAAATACGATAATCATCGGCTTCTCCAAGGGTATTTTCGTCAATTATAAGAACGTGTACGTCACGCGAATCATACGAACGGCAGAAGAAACCTTCTTGACAGACAGTGTGCACCCGTAAACTCTGTCATCTCAATCTCACCAAGAAAAGTAAAATCAATTCTTCAATCTCATATTCCACCTCGATCGTTGATGCTTGAAACCCTAACGATCGCAAGATTAGTTTAATTTAGCTTCTACATAAGGTATTATCGATTTTGTGCCTGATTAACTGTTGAATTTGATATATGTTTGACGCTGATGAGTTTGATCATAATGTGTATAGATTATTTGTATTTTGATTATGTAAGTTAATCGAGGTTCATCATCGAAGTTTATGAACTATGTTAATTGATTCGTTGCTTTTTGTCTATGAAGTTTGAAGAATTTTTTCTAGGTTAATTGACTTTTGAGAGTCATTTTGTTTAATTCTAGGGTTTTAATGGAAGTTGTATGACTATTACAGTTTTTTTATGTTTCTATCTGAAATATTAGGTGTGGATACACCATATATCTGCTTAGATATCCATGAAGAATTAGTTCTATCTCTGTACATTGGATTTTACAGTTTTGCTATCAGTACTAGAGAAGATGGAACTGTTATGATGATAAAAGTAGATGCAAATACTGTTTCATTTCAATTGTGTTTATTTGATTTACGTGAAATACCATAATATCAGGTAACGGAATCAGAATTTTTTGTAGTCTTTAATGTTTCTAGGTTCTAGACTTTTGAGAGCCATTTTGTTTAATTCTAGGGTTCTAATCAAAGTTGTAGGTCTATTACGTTTTTTTATTGTTGTATACTGAAATATTAAGTGTGGATCCATATGTGTATATCTATCAAGGGTTAATTTTGCTATTTCGGTATAAGAGAAGATGCAAATCCTGCTTCATTTCATTCAAGTTTATCTGATTTACTGAAATATCATCATCTCAAGTAGCGAAATCAGAAGTTTAATCGGTTTATCATCCGTTGCAACCCTGATGTGATTTCGGTATTGCTACATGTGCAAAATGCTCTTCCCTTCGAAGGTTTGGATAAGAGAGTCAATGACACAAGCTTCAATTTGACTAATTTATATTAAATAGTGTGCTAATTTTGTTTCTTGGTGTAATTGAGCACTATCTCTTGATATATGTCGTGTGGCATGATGTGTGTGTTCTAATGTATGCATATGTAAGGAAGCCACTCTACTCTTTGAGGGTGAAGGTCGGGTCTTTGTACACTCCTCGGCACGCACGTGATCCCACATTCAAGTGCATATGATGGTTGTTTAGTTTGGTGTATATGCAAGGAAGCCTGTAACATGATGTGTGTTTATGAATCTATGCATATGTAAGGAAGACAATATATTGCTACAACTCTATAGATGCCTTATTTCTACTTATAGTTACTATGCACACCATGCTTATGCTGAGTCAGTTTCCTTAATGATACCGTCTTGTTTCCAGATTTGAATCATGGGTCAGTCACTTGGGTGCATTCAAGTGCAGCAGTCTAGTGTAGCAGTTAAAGAACATTTTGGCAAGTTCGATGACGTACTTCAGCCTGGTTGTCACTGTTTGCCTTGGTGTTTGGGGTATCGGCTCGCTGGGAAATTGTCGTTGCGTGTGAATCAGCTTGATGTTCATTGTGAGACAAAAACAAAGGTCTTAGCATTTTTTCATTGACCTTTAGTGATCATATATAGGATGCTATCAAATTTCTATTGTTTGCTTGAGCTTTTCACTTGTAGCAATATCCAAATCACATCAGGGTTGCAATAGATGATAAGACGATTAAAAATTTTCATCTACTTGAGATGATGATATTTCATGTAAATCAGATAAACCTGATTGAAATGAAACAAGATTTGCATCTTCTCTTATACTGAATAGCAAAACTGTAAATCCAATGTATAGAGACAAAGTTAATTCTTGATGGAGCTTGGATACACACAGATGAATCCATACTTAATATTTCATTATACAACCATAAAAAAAATGTACTAGTCATACAACTTCCATTAAACCCTAGAATTAAACAAAACGATTCTAAAAAATTTAGAACCTAGAAATATTAAGACGATTGAAAATTCTGATTCCACTGCTTGATATGATGATATTTCTTAGTTTGTCCCAAAATAAGTGTCCACTTTCAAAAGCAAGTGCCTACTTTCCAAATATACCCTTAATTGTGAGACGGAGAAATTCATTATTTTCTATTATTAATTGTCATTTAGTTAATCAAAAAGTGCAATATTTACATATTTCTGAAATTGTGTGCATTTTTCATTGGAGACATTTATTTTGGGATGGAGGGAGTGTTAATTTTATACTTTGCCATGTTGCTTTCACTTGGGGTCAAGCATTGAGGTCACCTTTTTATTAGTAGTGTCATGTGTGTTCAGCCCATTCATGTTGACCTACACTTCTTATTTTTTAAGCTTAGATTCTTGAAGTTTGATCAGATCCTCGTCATGGTTGCATTTCAGGACAATGTCTTTGTTACCATGGTTGCTTCTATACAGTATCGTGCCTTGTCTGATAAGGCTGCTGATGCTTTCTACAAGCTCTCAAACACAAAGCAACAAATTCAAGCTTATGTTTTCGATGGTGAGATGCCGATATCTCGTGTTCTATTTTGTTGCTTTGGTTTGACAATATTTTTGCAAGCAAATTCAATAACAAAAGGAACCCACTAAAGTTCCGTTTCTTTTGCGGGATTTGATAGGATTTGGGGGGATTTGAAATTGAATTCCATTCCCAATCCTATGTTTGGTTTGAAGGAATGCTTGGATTTAATATGAAATCCCACAAACATGGGATTTAGATATTCCATGAGGGTTGTTGGTATTTCGTGAAATTTCATAGGAATTGTTTGTAACAATGCTTTAAAGTATGTTAAAAACACTTGTTTTGTAATATTCGATTAATAAAAAGGTAATTTAATTATTTTTATAAATTATTTATAAAGAATGGAATTCAATTCCATTCCAAATCCAACAAACCAAACACACCCAAGATTTCAAATCCTTCCACGAAATCCAAATCCGTCAAAAACCTTCCATCAAACCAAACGGGACCTAAGTAAGTTGATTAGATTAGCGATTTAATTCATTATTGTGTTACTCAGTACGGATTCTAAATTCCCGATTTTACATTGATGTTGTTAGTAATTAGGGCTAGTGTACCGAAGCTGCAATTGGATGACGTTTTTCTGCAGAAGGATGATATAGCTAGAGGTGTGGAAGAGGAGCTTGAAAAGGTAATAGTTCTTTTTCCTTTATTAATTTATCGTTCTTCTGCCTTCAAAAAACACAGACATGTTTATGGGATTTTTTTTTTGTGGTCATGTAAATGCGTGACACTTTTTGACCTTATTTTTAGGCAATGTCCGGTTATGGTTTTGAAATCGTGCAAACTTTGATCGTTGATATAGAACCTGATCCACATGTAAAGAGATCCATGAACGAGATCAATGCAGGTACTCGGTTCAATTCCTGATAGAATGGTGTTTAAAACATAGAACTCGTTACTCCCTCCGTCCCAAAATAACTGTCAACTTTCAAAAGTAAGTGTCTATTTTCCCGTTCTACCCTTAACTATGAGACGGAGAAGACTTCTCTCTAAATTTATTAGGGGTAGAAGTGTCATTTAGTCGATTAAAAAGTGTAATAATTACACATTCCTAAAACTTTGTGTCATTTTCATTGTAGGCATTTATTTTGGGACGGAAGGAGTACTAGATTTAGTAATAACTGAACGACTTCCTTGCATATAAATTGGTAACAGCTTGTCAACATTTATAGTGTGTTTGGTATGTGGGACAGGAAATGACCGTATAGAAACTCGTTGGCCTGTATTTGGTGCAACATTAGAGTGGGACATGTGCTAGTGAGACAAATATGCATATTTTCTGTCAGTAGAACAAAATTAGGGAGACGAGACAAGTTTAGTAAATTACTGAAATTTATTGTTCCACCAAAATATATGGAACAAAAATGGGACAAGATTGGTAAATTATTAAACCACCCATGTCAAATTAAAACTTTAAAAATTTTCACTATTCTTTCATCTGGCTATCTCACTTTTGCCCATCCAGTCCCATCTGCATACCATTAGCAGAAGCAAGTACGACTTGTCCGATATTATCTTAACTGTAATAACAGCTTCTAGAATGAGAGTTGCTGCAAACAAAAAGGCTGAAATTAGACTGGGACATGATGGGACTGAAATTAGGTGGAACTAGATGGTACAAGATTGGTGGATTACTAAACTACCCATTTCAGATTAAAACTTCAAAACCTTTCACAATTCTTTCGCCCACCTACCTCACTCTTGTCCAGTCCTATCTGGTCCGTATGCGTACCAAACGTATTTTTATGATAATTCATATAAACAAATACAACTTATTTACTAATATCTCAAACGTAAATAGCTGCCCGAATGAGAGTTGCTGCAAACGAAAAGGCGGAAGCGGAAAAGATTCTGCAAATCAAGCGTGCAGAAGGAGAAGCGGAATCCAAATACCTATCTGGGCTCGGTATCGCTAGGCAGCGGCAAGCCATCGTGGACGGTCTTAGGGACAGCGTGCTTGCGTTTTCTAATAACGTGCCGGGGACATCGGCCAAGGATGTTATGGACATGGTGTTGCTAACTCAATATTTCGACACCATGAAAGAGATTGGAGCTTCATCTAAATCATCTGCTGTTTTTCTTCCTCATGGACCTGGAGCAGTGAAAGATATAGCCTCGCAAATCCGCGAGGGTCTCCTTCAAGCCGAAAGTGTCCACGAATAGTCTACAGGTGCGTTTTTTCGACCTTATATTGAAAAGTGTGCTCGGATATGTAAATATCGTGATCTCAATAAAAAATTTAGGGTATTAGGATTATGTAAAGAAGATGCAAATATGGGTGTGTATATGTTCTGATCCTTCGTAATACTTGATCGATGTCAAACCGTGTTCCGCTTATTGAAACCGAGTTGATTGAGGCTTTCTTACGATAATCGTAGGTCCCGTTTAATTTGCGGAAATGGTGGGTTTAGTAGAGCATTTGGAACTGAATTACATTCCTATCTCGTATTTGGTTTAATGGAAAGTCCGGAATTGAAATCCCACAAACATTGGATATAAAGATCTCATGGGGTAGTTGATATTTCGCGGAATCTAATATGATTTGTTTGTAATAATGTTTTAAAATATGATAAAAATATTAGTTTTTTAATAATCATCAACGAAATGTAATTTAATTATTTTTTATAATATAATTTTTTTTATAAGTAATTACTGGAAGAATGGAATTCAATTCCATCCCAACTCTTACAAACCAAACACAAAAAGCATTCCAAATACTTCCACAAAATTCTCAAAAATATTTCGTCACACCAAACGTCCCTTAAGAGATTTTGATTTTAAATTTTGAACTTGTGGTAAAATAGAACAGGCTGAACTAACCAAAGGGTCATCGACCTAACGGTATTTGGGTTACCTAGGGGCTAATTTAAGAAGACCGGAGAGGTTGTATGTGTATCAGCTCAATCATGCCGACACACTAGAAGCTTTCTAGGGGTTCTTAAAGGTACACACGTTTTAAATTATTATATTTTGATTGATTTTTTTTATTAACCTGGATATATAACCCGCTATGCGAGCCGACTAATCTTAGGATGATTACCTGCTTTGCGAGTAATCCGGAGTTACCGCATTTGAACCTCCATGGTCACAAGGAGATTTTTATTCTTCCTTGGATTTGAACCTGGGACCTCCAGATATCTTTAACCTTTCGACACCAAATTTGACACCTAGAATTTGGATGGTAGTTAAGAACAAACATCCTTATCCTTATTGATTATGACTCATGGAAATTGTGTTCCATGTTTTTTGCTTTCTAGACTCGGCCTTGTATTTGAAAAAGATGGGGTAGCTTATCATATTCAATCAGCCATTTCGTTTCGTGTATGCCAATTCCATTTGGGTTTATTCAACAAAATTTATTTTTATAAATTCTAAAACTTTGATATAAAAGAAAAAGACAAATTGCGTGAAAAAACAACGTACTTTAACTTGATTCCTATTTCGGGTAACGTAATTTCAAAACTTTCATTTTGGTACTTAAGGTGTAAAGTTTTAAACATGTAAGACCACTTTTTTATATTTGAAACTTCACAGCAAAATTTTGTGAAATATATCTTCACAACGTTATCTCATTTTGTAGTGTAATAAAATACTACATATTATTGTAATATTTATTTGAGGTTTTTCTTTTATTTTGTTCAATTGGTTTTGTTTTTTAACATTTGAACTATATGAATAGATATTTAAATGAAATTAAATGATTAAATAAATAGAAAGTGTTGGGTTACGATAAGAATGAAAGTTATGGTGAGAAGGGTAAGAAAAAATTTCCATTTTTAGATCAATCATAATTGAAGAAAAACATTAAATCAACACCAATGAGATATATACATGATCAATTCCCTTCTAAAACACAATTCATGAGTTGGTTTGAGATTAAAAGTGATCAAGAGTTCAAATCGCCTTAACTCCTATCCTCATATGAACCCTTCGTCTAGATAGAAAATCGTTCTTTTTAAATAAATTATATTTCAAACTGAAAAAATACTATATAAGTTATATCTAAAGGGTATTATCATGTTTAACTGAATTATAGTTTAGATATACCAGATTTAATATTTTCTTTTTCTGATTTATACAAACTATTCAAACATCTATACTATATTATAAAACATTTGACAGAAACTCTTGAAAACTATTTTTTATGCATGAAGTATGTTTATCTATACTATGCTATAAAACATTTGACAGAAACTCTTAAAAACCATTTTTTTTATGATTAAATATTGTTTATTGATGCATATTACTTAAAATTCAATATTACAAATAAATTGTGCGTACGTATAATTTATTAAAGCTTCATGTTTAAATTCGTGTAACTAATCGCAGATAAACATAATAAAATAGAGAATAAATATCTCATTTTAGATATTAAAAATCTAAAATATAATTAGAATAATAATTGAGTTTCTAACAAAATACTTAATTATTATCATTATAAAAAATTATATTATTAAACAAAAAATAAAAAAATTAATTAAATACACAAAAAAGAAGAAACTTTAAATAATTAGTTTGGTACTAGTATCAATAAACTTTTTTTCAAATTTTTTATGATATATCTTCATATTTATAGTTTATTTAAAAATAAAAACATTATCGCTTTCTCAAAACCACATAAAACTGTATTATAACATCGACTGAGACAAAAAAAAAACCAAACATTAAAATCGAGATGTATCTCGCTGCATTATACAAGTACTCTTCTAGTAATAATAAAATATAATTAATCATGGTTCTTCAAAACGAAAGTTTTGATCAACGGTTACTCAAAACAGAAAATAAAAACAAAAAAAATGTGTATTGTTGTATTTTGTCCGGCTCTGCTTGATTTTAAATTCTAATAACCAAATAAACCATGGTCCAGATGTTTTTGTTGCAGTGCGTTTGGTTCACGAAAGAGAATGAAAAGGAATAAGTGTGTGTTCTTATAGCTACAGCTACGCGTGTGAAGTAATAACACCTCTTGACATCGATATTCATTGACATTTCCATTCTCATTGTTGTCTTATGTTAATTTTGTTTGGTAATGAAGTTGAAGGGATAACTCAATTGAAACTCAAACAAATTGATTGATTTAGATTGATGTCTCCAACAAATCAAGAAAAATGAAAAACTTATAACTTGACTGAAACATCAAACAACTTATATAGAATATGATGACAATGCTTTCAGATTACAACCAAAAGGGTATAAAATACTTATCGTAATTTGAAAGTAGATAAAAACTAATCATAGTTAATTAATGAGAAAAGTCTAAAAAAACTCAATGAACTTTAGTGTTTGGAATGATTAATTTCTTGGACAATTTTTTGGAACAAATAAGTTCTTGGACAATTTAAAACATGTTAAATAACTCATTAGACAATTTTTTGGAACAAATAAGTCATTGGACAATCCAAAACATGTTAAATAACTTCTTGGACTTTTCTAAAACCTGCTGGATACATTCTTATGACTTGTACAACTAGTTAATATGGTAAAATAGTGGAAAAAAAGTCCAAAAAAAAAAAACTAATGAACATTCATATTTTGAACGATTAAGTCTCTAAACATTTTTTGAATCAAAAAGTATTTATATCTATAAAATTAAACAAATATAACAAAAAAATACTTGCATTTAAAAAAAAGTTAATTATATTTAAAAA